ACAAAAACAAACACGACCACATTATCTATGGACTGGTAGGCTGGAATTTACGACATTTTAGGTACACTTTAATGATGGTGGGAGGTCCTGTCTAGGAGACTAGGAAGGTGTGAAGGTGCCGGAGTGTGGTCAGCAATGATGGTGGGAGGTCCTGTCTAGGAGACTAGGAAGGTGTGAAGGTGCCGGAGTGTGGTCAGCAATGATGGTGGGAGGTCCTGTCTAGGACACTAGGAAGGTGTGAAGGTTCCGGAGTGTGGTCAGCAATGATGGTGGGAGGTCCTGTCTAGGAGACTAGGAAGGTGTGAAGGTGCAGGAGTGTGGTCAGCCATGATGGTGGGAGGTCCTGTCTAGGAGACTAGGAAGGTGTGAAGGTGCCTGAGTGTGGTCAGCCAATGATGGTGGGAGGTCCTGTCTAGGACACTAGGAAGGTGTGAAGGTTCCGGAGTGTGGTCAGCAATGATGGTGGGAGGTCCTGTCTAGGAGACTAGGAAGGTGTGAAGGTGCCTGAGTGTGGCCAGCAATGATGGTGGGAGGTCCTGTCTAGGAACTAGGTGTGAAGGTTTCGGAGTGTGGCCAGCAATGATGGTGGTAAGTCCTGTCTAGGACACTAGGAAGGTGTGAAGGTTCCAGAGTGTGGTCAGCCATGATGGTGGTAAGTCCTGTCTAGGAGACTAGGAAGGTGTGAAGGTGCAGGAGTGTGGTCAGCAATGATGGTGGTAAGTCCTGTCTAGGACACTAGGAAGGTGTGAAGGTGCCTGAGTGTGGCCAGCAATGATGGTGGGAGGTCCTGTCTAGGAGACTAGGAAGGTGTGAAGGTGCCGGAGTGTGGTCAGCAATGATGGTGGTAGGTCCTGTCTAGGAGACTAGGAAGGTGTGAAGGTGCCTGAGTGTGGTCAGCAATGATGGTGGGAGGTCCTGTCTAGGACACTAGGAAGGTGTGAAGGTGCCGGAGTGTGGTCAGCAATGATGGTGGGAGAGACTTGTCTCATTGACCTAGCCATGTGTGAATGGTGCCGGGTGTTCCCCAGATGGTGGGAGCTGGGTCCTGGACCAGAGAGGGAGAAGCATTGGAAGGTGTGAAGAGTGTTGCTTTCTATTTAGTGTGGTTGTCCAATAGAACTGGTGGTACTCCGAGACGGCAAAAGATGATCTAAGATACTTCACAGGTTGATAGATTCTCCGCAGGAGTGTGGTCAGCCATGATGGTGGGAGGTCCTGTCTAGGAGACTAGGAAGGTGTGAAGGTGCCTGAGTGTGGTCAGCAATGATGGTGGGCCTCGTCCCTCGTCTAGGATTTCATTAGGAAGGTGTCACACCCAGATGGCGGGAATCCAGTCAGCCATGATCAAGGGAGAGACCGGCGGTTGCTCTTCCTCTCCTCCTCTATATATGGATGGTGCTGGGTCTTCTCCATTGCCTCCATGAGCTGCGTTCGGTGAAGGACCAAGAGGGAGAATCCATTGCTGGGTGTGCTCCCCCCCCCCCCAGAGTGTTGCTCTCCTATTTAGTCAAGATGGTTGTTTGGCTTATAGAACTGTCTACTCCGAGACGGTCAAAAGACGATCTGAAGATCACTTCACATCGTTGATAGGTTCATGTGCAGTGCAGCCATCGTGTCTTCTCGTGGTTTTCCCTGATAAAGAGGTCAAGATGGCGCTCAGTCTGTCCAAGCATGTGCGCCATCATGTCCCATCGCTGAGATTTCATTATTTCTGTTCATCATGTCCATCATGTGCCTCATGTGAGGGTCAACATGTCTCATCAAGGAGCGCTACCGGCGGGTCATCATGGAGGGTCTCATGTGCGGGTCATCTTCCACTAATCTCCTCTCATATATGAAGATCTGCAGACAACATCTTCTCTTCATTGCCTCCATCATTCTGCGTTTGGTGAACAGTGCGGGTCAACATGTGACATCTGCATCATCCAGAGTCTGGGCCGGCTCCCCCCCCCCCCCAAGGTTCATGCATCAAACATCTGAGTAACAAGATGGGTCATCATTTGGCTGCATACAGCATCAGCAGGGTCATGGAGAGGGTCATCATGTGAGGGTCATCATGTGAGGGTCCATCATGTGAGGGTCATCATGTCTGGGTCATCATGTGGGGGTCATCATGTGAGGGTCATCATGTCTGGGGTCATCATGTCTGGGTCATCATGTCTGGGTCATCATGTGCGGGTCATCATGTCTGGGTCATCATGTCGGGTCATCATGTGAGGGTCATCATGTCTGGGTCATCATGTGGGGGTCATCATGTGGGGGTCATCATGTGCGGGTCATCATGTCTGGGTCATCATGGGAGGGTCATCATGTGAGGGGTCATCGTGTGAGGGTCATCGTGTGAGGGTCATCTTGTCTGGGTCATCGTGTGAGGGTCATCGTGTGTGAGGGTCATCATCGTGTGGGGGTCATCATGTGAGGGTCATCGTGTGAGGGTCATCATGTGAGGGTCATCATGTCTGGGTCATCATGTGAGGGTCATCATGTGGGGGTCATCATGTCGGGGTCATCATGTGAGGGTCATCGTATTGGGTCGGTGGCTTGTGGTTCCTCATGATTGGCATGTAGCCATGTTGGTCAATGAGGTCAGACCATCCTCACCCCTCATGTATGGGCAGATGTAGAGAAGGGAACGCCCGGCTGATTCCAGGTTTGGCCAAACACGGGTCTGGACTGAACCCAAACTCATCCCTGATCTGCACCAAATCCTTTTTTTGGTTTCCAATAGATCAGAGCCGTCCCCTGCAGGGATCCCTTCACCCTTTTCACCGTTTTTTCCAATGATTTAGTCGACATTTTAGTGTGTGATACTCGTCGCCTTTTCACCTCTGCGCTCCGTAATTGGATGAGTTTTGTCTTGACTCCAAGATGGAGTCTATCACTTCTGTCCGTTGCACCCCGGGTCACCCAGCTGCCCATTACAGGCTGACGGGGGCATATTAAAAGCCGCTTTGATACAAATTCACTCGATGAGGAAAGATCGATGAGTCAGGTTGTGCAGCCAGTGTGCCGATTCTCACCGCAGTGAATTAACGCTGCTTAGGACGCGTTGCTCTCAAGGCGGAAATCAATAGGTTTTCAGAGAGGAGGCCGAGCATGAGGAGGAAGGAGATGGAGCCGGGCCCATTAGAGTTCTCTTCCCCGGGTAGAAAGAAATGAGCCTTCTCCCCCCCCCCCACCCCACCGAGGCCCATTAACCCGTGCAGAGCTCAGAATTATATTCCTTACAACAGGAGGTAGGTAGGAGGAGAGAATAGATAGGAGATCAGGAGGTAGGTAGGAGGACAGAACAGGAGATCGGGAGGTAGGTAGGAGGACAGAATAGGGAGATCGGGAGGGTAGGTAGGAGGACAGAATAGGAGATCGGGAGGTAGGTAGGAGGACAGAATAGGAGATCGGGAGGTAGGTAGGAGGACAGAATAGGAGATCGGGAGGTAGGTAGGAGGATAGAAAAGATAGGAGATCGGGAGGTAGGTAGGAGGATAGAATAGATAGGAGATCGGGAGGTAGGTAGGAGGATAGAATAGATAGGAGATCGGGAGGTAGGTAGGAGGACAGAATAGGAGATCGGGAGGTAGGTAGGAGGACAGAATAGGAGATCGGGAGGTAGGTAGGAGGACAGAATAGGAGATCGGGAGGTAGGTAGGAGGACAGAATAGGAGATCGGGAGGTAGGTAGGAGGATAGAAAAGATAGGAGATCGGGAGGTAGGTAGGAGGATAGAATAGATAGGAGATCGGGAGGTAGGTAGGAGGACAGAATAGGAGATCGGGAGGTAGGTAGAGGACAGAATAGGAGATCGGGAGGTAGGTAGGAGGACAGAATAGGAGATCGGTAGGAGGTAGGTAGGAGGATAGAATAGATAGGAGATCGGGAGGTAGGTAGGAGGATAGAATAGATAGATTGGAGATTGGGGAGGTAGGTAGGATCGGACAGAATAGATAGGAGATAGGGATTGGGAGGTAGGAGGACAGAATAGATAGGAGATCGGGAGGTAGGTAGGAGGACAGAACAGATAGGAGATCGGGAGGTAGGTAGGAGGACAGAACAGATAGGAGATCGGGAGGTAGGTAGGAGGACAGAACAGATAGGAGATCGGGAGGTAGGTAGGAGGACAGAACAGATAGGAGATCGGGAGGTAGGTAGGAGGAGGACAGAACAGATAGGAGATCGGGAGGTAGGTAGGAGGACAGAACAGATAGGAGATCGGGAGGTAGGTAGGAGGACAGAACAGAGAGGAGATCGGGAGGTAGGTAGGAGGACAGAACAGATAGGAGATCGGGAGGTAGGTAGGAGGACAGAACAGAGAGGAAATCGGGAGGTAGGTAGGAGGATAGAACAGAGAGGAGATCGGGAGGTAGGTAGGAGGACAGAATAGGAGATCGGGAGGTAGGTAGGAGGACAGAATAGGAGATCGGGAGGTAGGTAGGAGGACAGAATAGGAGATCGGGAGGTAGGTAGGAGGACAGAATAGGAGATCGGGAGGTAGGTAGGAGGATAGAAAAGATAGGAGATCGGGAGGTAGGTAGGAGGATAGAATAGATAGGAGATCGGGAGGTAGGTAGGAGGACAGAATAGGAGATCGGGAGGTAGGTAGGAGGACAGAATAGGAGATCGGGAGGTAGGTAGGAGGACAGAATAGGAGATCGGGAGGTAGGTAGGAGGATAGAATAGATAGGAGATCGGGAGGTAGGTAGGAGGATAGAATAGATAGGAGATTGGGAGGTAGGTAGGAGGACAGAATAGATAGGAGATCGGGAGGTAGGTAGGAGGACAGAACAGATAGGAGATCGGGAGGTAGGTAGGAGGACAGAACAGATAGGAGATCGGGAGGTAGGTAGGAGGACAGAACAGAAAGGAGATCGGGAGGTAGGTAGGAGGACAGAACAGATAGGAGATCGGGAGGTAGGTAGGAGGACAGAACAGATAGGAGATCGGGAGGTAGGTAGGAGGACAGAACAGATAGGAGATCGGGAGGTAGGTAGGAGGACAGAACAGAGAGGAGATCGGGAGGTAGGTAGGAGGACAGAACAGATAGGAGATCGGGAGGTAGGTAGGAGGACAGAACAGAGAGGAGATCGGGAGGTAGGTAGGAGGATAGAACAGAGAGGAGATCGGGAGGTAGGTAGGAGGACAGAACAGAGAGGAGATCGGGAGGTAGGTAGGAGGATAGAACAGAGAGAAGATTGGGAGGTAGGTAGGAGGATAGAACAGAGAGGAGATCGGGAGGTAGGTAGGAGGAGAGAATAGAGTTCCAGAGGATGGGAGAAGCTCTGGAGAAGTCCTGGAGGACAGCTTTATAAAGGAGCCAGAGATCAGGAGGTCTGGAAGGAGCAGGGAAGATGGTTTAAGGGAGCTTGGGGCAGAGTTGTGGGTGGCTTTGTATGTTGTAGTGAAGAGTTTGAGAGGGGTGGAGGACACTGAATGGAGGCCAGTGGAGGGATTGGCAGAGGGGAGTGGAGGACACTGAGTGGAGGCCAGTGGAGGGATTGGCAGAGGGGGTGGAGGACACTGAATGGAGGCCAGTGGAGGGATTGGCAGAGAGGGGTGGAGGACACTGAATGGAGGCCAGTGGAGGGATTGGCAGAGAGGGGTGGAGGACACTGAATGGAGGCCAGAGGGCAGAGATCACTGAATGGAGGCCAGAGAGGGATCGGGAGAGGGTGGAGGACACTGAATGGAGGCCAGTGCAAGGATCGGCAGAGAGGGGCGAAGGACACTGAATGGAGGCCAGAGGAGGGATCGGCAGAGAGGGGTGGAGGGCACTGAGTGGAGGCCAGTGGAGGGATTGGCAGAGAGGGGTGGAGGACACTGAATGGAGGCCAGTGGAGGGATTGGCAGAGAGGGGTGGAGGACACTGAATGGAGGCCAGAGGAGGGATCGGCAGAGAGGGGTGGAGGACACTGAATGGAGGCCAGGGGAGGGATCGGCAGAGAGGGGCGGAAGACACTGAATGGAGGCCAGAGGAGGGATCGGCAGAGAGGGGTGGAGGGCACTGAGTGGAGGCCAGTGGAGGGATTGGCAGAGAGGGGTGGAGGACACTGAATGGTTGGTGAGGTGGGAGGCCGACAGCAGCATTCATTATAGACTGGAGGACTGATAGTCTGTGTAGCAGTTGGCCAATAAGAAGGCTCGTCAGTCTTTAGAATAGACATGCGTGTTCTGGATGTGTGTAATGGAACCGGACCCCGACCACACTCGGGTATTTCCGTTAGACTCCCGATTCCCTGCCTGAACACAGATCCCCGGACCCCACCGCTGACCATACAGGAAATAGACGGCACCAGACTTGTATTAAGACAGGAAGTGAACTGCTTTATTTTTGCACAAACACAAGATATATACAGAGGGCGGGGCAATACAACCAGGAACAGGAAACACATCATCAGGCCGTCCCATCAGGGGGAAGGGCTACAGGAAACACCCCCCCCACCAAACCAAGACACACAATAGAACAAAGGGATACACCACTTGGCAGTAGACAATACAGGAACACATACATCCCATAATAGTTTGCTGGCCAGCAAGACACAATAGAACTATGGACAACCCCCCCCCCCCCCCCACCTATACATGTCTACACAATACTAGGACAGATCACCCTGCACCCCTTACAGGCACAGGGTGGGCTACACATAAGAGGAAAAACAGGGTCCCCCCACCCCCAAAAGTCACTCCCGTCACATATCTCCCCTTTCGGCAGGAGACTAACGCAGGAGGAAACCCCAGACAGATGGACTCTAAAGTTAGTCTGTACTTCCAGTCCCCCAATGCCGGCACCCACACAGGACCCCAAACAAATGGTCCCACACAAAGCATTCCTCACCCAGCCAACCTCTGCCTCTCCCATAGAACATACCCGCCGCTGGGGAGAAGACAGGGTGGCTGGGCCGGCTCCATCATGCTGTGGGGGATCTGGGCCGACTCCATCATGCTGTGTGGGGGATCTGGGCCGACTCCATCATGCTGTGGGGGATCTGGGCCCACTGCCCAGCATCCCTGGGGTATCCAGGTGGTGACTGTAGTCTCATCCACTTTGACTTGATGGACACCCCCCAGTGTTCGAAAAGTAAGGCTGACACCCTCCTGTCCCAATGCCGGACCCTTTTCTGGGGTTGTGTCAGTGGAGACCGAAGTCCCATCCATGGATCAGCTCAAGCTGCCGTTGTGAGGTGCCGATTGCATCCTCGTCCTGTAGCTCCTGCGGTGCTGATTGTTGTGGGCAGAGGTCAACCACGCCATGCCCTGATGCCAGCTCTTCTGCTGGAGGCGTGCCGGCTGGTTCCTCCTCAGCAGAAAAGACAATCAAATCCCCAGTCTCTGGAACTGGTGTCTGGGGTTGGGGGTTCACCATCTCCTGTCTGTGGAACCCAGAAGATGTTACCAGTGCTGGGAAGAGTTCAGTAATGTTTGGCCCTGTTGTCAGCTCTTCTGCTGGTTCCTCCTCAGCAGAGAAGTCTATCAAATCCCCAGTCTCTGGAATTTCCACTGCCGATTCTTGGGCATGCTGCCGCACGTTTTAGCAGTTGCCTGTATGCCCTTTCCAGATGCAGTTCTTTCATCAGCAGGTATTCCAGATCTGGTTCAAGCTCTGAGACCCCTGTGAGACCGAACATAGCCTCTCTGTCTTCTCGCAGGTCCTCCAGGGTAGGTTCTCCTTCATCGCCAAACACAAAATGATCTGTAAGGCTCTCCCACAGCAATCCAGGGCCACCAAAGTCATATCCCTCCGGAGAGCATTCTGTTGTCACCCCTAATATTCCTGCTCTGCGTACCATTGCAGAGCCGATATCTGTTGTCCAGCTCTATCTCCTGCTGGACCAGCCTGTCCAACTCAGTCACCCATTGCTCCTGGGGTCGCTCTCCCAGGAATGGCATCCATAACTTCCGATGGTCCCTGGCCCGTTCCCCTGGGGTTGGATAGCACTTGCCCTTGTCCATACCAGCAACCTGGAGGGCTCCTCTCCAAAGCATCTCCCAAATCCGCTGCCTGAGCTCCAGGTAATGATCCGTAGACACAGTCCTGGGGTATGGTGCAAGAACGATCCGCAGCAGCCCTGGGAACTCTGATGTCAGGTCCATATCTCCACTGGGGTGACCGACGTCTCCTTTCCTGATCTTGAATCCCAGTGGTGGTTTGGACGTGTTCACAGCTTGGAAGCACAATCCCACCGCTGCCACCAATGTAACGGAACCGACCCCCACTGCACCAATGTAACGGAACCGGACCCCGACTGCACCAATGTAACGGAACCGGACCCCGACTGCACCAATGTAACGGAACTGGACCCCGACTGCACCAATGTAACGGAACCGGACCCAGACTGCACCAATGTAACGGAACTGGACCCCGACTGCACCAATGTAACGGAACCGGACCCCAGACTGCACCAATGTAACGGAACTGGACCCCGACTGCACCAATGTAACGGAACTGGACCCCGACTGCACTAGGGTACTTCCGTTAGACTCATACATACAGAAAATAGACGGCACCAGACTTGTATTAAGACAGGAAGTGAACTGCTTAATTTTAACACAAACACAAGATATATAAACAGGGCGGGGCAATACAACCAGGAACAGGAAACACATCATCAGGCCGTCCCATCAGGGGGAAGGGCTACAGGAAACACCCCCCAACAAACCAAGACACACAGTAGAACAATGGGATACACCACATGGCAGTAGACAATAGGGGAACACATACATCCCATAATATTTTGCTGGCCAGCAAGACACAATTGAACAATGGGATGCAGCACCTGGCAGAGAACAATGAACAACCCCCCCCCCCCCACCTATGCATGTCTACACAATACTAGGACAGATCACCCTGTACCCCTTAGAGGCACAGGGTGGGCTACACATAAGAGGAACAACAGGGGTCCCCCCCACCCCCAAAAGTCCCTCCTGTCACAATGTGCGCTCACCATACGCAGCGTGCGTGTTCTGGAGGTGCGCTCACCATATGCAGCATGTGTCTTCTAGATCTGCGCTCACCATACGCAGCGTGCGTGTTCTGGAGGTGCGCTCACCATACGCAGCGTGCGTGTTCTGGAGGTGCGCTCACCATGCGTAGCGTGCGTGTTCCGGAGGTGCGCTCACCATACGCAGCGTGCGTGTTCCGGAGGTGCGCTCACCATACGCAGCGTGCGTGTTCTGGAGGTGCGCTCACCATACGCAGCGTGCGTGTTCCGGAGGTGCGCTCACCCATACGCAGCGTGCGTGTTCTGGAGGTGCGCTCACCATACGCAGCGTGCGTGTTCTGGAGGTGCGCTCACCATGCGTAGCGTGCGTGTTCCGGAGGTGCGCTCACCATACGCAGCGTGCGTGTTCCGGAGGTGCGCTCACCATATGTACCGTGCGTGTTCCAGAGGTGCGTTCACCATACGCAGCGTGCGTGTCCTGGAGGTGCGCTCACCATGCGCAGCGTGCGTGTTCCGGAGGTGCATTCACCATACGCAGCGTGCGTGTTCTGGAGGTGCGCTCACCATGCGTAGCGTGCGTGTTCCGGAGGTGCGCTCACCATACGCAGCGTGCGTGTTCCGGAGGTGCGCTCACCATATGTAGCGTGCGTGCTCCAGAGGTGCGTTCACCATACGCAGCGTGCGTGTCCTGGAGGTGCGCTCACCATGCGCAGCGTGCGTGTTCCGGAGGTGCGTTCACCATACACAGCGTGCGTGTTCTGGAGGTGCGCTCACCATACGCAGCGTGCGTGTTCTGGAGGTGCGCTCACCATACGCAGCGTACGTGTTCCGGAGGTGCGCTCACCATACGCAGCGTGCGTGTTCCGGAGGTGCGCTCACCATACGTAGCGTGTGCGTGTTCCGGAGGTGCGCTCACCATACGCAGCGTGCGTGTTCCGGAGGTGCGTTCACCATACACAGCGTGCGTGTTCTGGAGGTGCGCTCACCATACGCAGCGTGCGTGTTCCGGAGGTGCGCTCACCATACGCAGCGTGCGTGTCCTGGAGGTGCGCTCACCATGCGCAGCGTGCGTGTTCCGGAGGTGCGTTCACCATACACAGCGTGCGTGTTCTGGAGGTGCGCTCACCATGCGCAGCGTGCGTGTTCCGGAGGTGCGTTCACCATACGCAGCGTGCGTGTTCTGGAGGTGCGCTCACCATACGCAGCGTGCGTGTTCCGGAGGTGCGCTCACCATACGCAGCGTGCGTGTTCCGGAGGTGCGTTCACCATACGCAGCGTGCGTGTTCCGGAGGTGCGCTCACCATACGCAGCGTGCGTGTTCCGGAGGTGCGCTCACCATACGCAGCGTGCGTGTTTCCGGAGGTGCGCTCACCATACGCAGCGTGCGTGTTCCGGAGGTGCGCTCACCATACGCAGCGTGCGTGTTCCGGAGGTGCGCTCACCATACGCAGCGTGCGTGTTCCGGAGGTGCGCTCACCATACGCAGCGTGCGTGTTCCGGAGGTGCGCTCACCATACGCAGTCATGACCGGCGCTCACAAATCCCTCCACCAACCTTCCCGGCTTCCTGACACATTGACATCTTCTGACTCACCTGGAGAAGCTCGGCGTATGTGACGGCCAATCCGCTGACGGCTGAACTCATTGTGTAATTATGAATTAGCGGCTCTTTAGCAAATGTTATTAGAATTCTGCGTATTCCCCATGAATTATAAATGAATCGAATCATTTCTGTATTCCCACGAGTCGATTAACAACCATTCAGCCTTCGCTGGCTCCATTATACTGTCTAATCTCCGGATTACGGTAATAGCTGACGTGCGAGGAGTTCTGATTGTGAGGGAACCGGGCTCCGCAATCACATCGTTCTGGGATTCGACTTATCCGGGAGCCGGCCTGGGTCAGCTCCGCAATCACCACATCATCGTTCTGGGATAGACTTATCTGGGAGCCGGGCCTGGGTCAGCTCCGCAATCACCACATCGTTCTGGGATAGACTTATCTGGGAGCCGGGCCTGGGTCAGCTCCAGTCACCATCATTCTGGGATCGACTTATCCGGGAGCCGGGCCTGGGTCAGCTCCGCAATCACCACATCGTTCTGGGATCGACTTATCTGG